CACACACACACACACACACACACACACACACACACACACACACACACACACACACTGAATGCAGGTATTTCCAGTTTGACAACAAAATACTTGTTTAGTGTTCTATATTTGAAAATGCCCCGAGCGCTTTAGTTCCCCTCGCCTGGGAGAGGAACAACAGTTTGTGAATTAGGACAAACACATGATAAGATGACACTCAAAGATTGTTTTACAGTAAAACACGGTTTGATATCTCGTAAACTTTAGATTAATTTGGATTGTTTGTTTGTCAGAGCATTTTACTGATGATTACAACCTGAAATGACACGCTGAGACAATATAGTTTCATATCTTGTAAAGCTGAAATCAATTTAGATCAACTGTTAGAAAACTTTAGCAAACATTTTAATAATATAAAATGATAAAATACAAAAAAATATAGAAAATAAGAGATGTTTGCAGATATTTTCGTATGACAATATGCCCCATTTAGGTCAGGAAATAATTTACTTTTGCTTAAAGTTAATTCTGGAATTACTTTTATCATCCTTGTTCTACTAAAACCTATGAATAAGTAACCGTTTTTCAATTATTTAGCCTACTTTTAATATTTTAGGCCAATTTAAACAGTTTATTTGTTACAAGTTTTGTATTATAACAAGCATTTGATAACAAAAAGCAGCAGCATTTAAAGGTTTTACAGGATCTGATCGGATATTAGAGCTTTTGAAAAGCTGTGATAAGTTTAGTTGGGTTATTTATAAGAAATAGCATTAAAAAGGTATGTTTACTTCCTCCTAAAAGTAAAAAAAACTCTTTTTAGTTTATTTTGGAGTTTAAATGTAAAAACGTGAGGAAAAAACAAGGTTTTAAAATAAACAACACGTAAGTATGACTTTAACCTTAAACTCTGGAGTTTATAAATAACTTATATCTGATCATTTATGTGTTTTTAGTCTCTTTATGTGGTTTTCTCAGCTGTTTTGTTGATGTTCAAGATGATCTGTGGGGATTCAGGGGATCTAAGCAAACAAACTGAGTGTTTTTAGTCAACTTTAACTCAAGAGGAGGCCAGATGTTCGGGATTTGTTAATAAAAAGCAGTTTATTGTGTCTGTGGAGGCTGTTTGGGGGGTTTCTGACCTCCTGCCGCCTCCCCCTGCATCTCCAGGTGATTACGTCATCGTCCTGGAAGGTGATGACTCTCAGCAGATGCTGCTTAAAGCGACACAAAGGAGCCGCAAAACCTTCCTCCTGTTGCTATAACCCACACAACTACAAGTCTGAGGTCATTTCCGAGCGTTAAACGGTCAAAGTTAAGGCTTGAACCCCTTCCTCTACCTGTTGTCAGGCACGCGCACTGGTCACCCGGCATCAAATGACACCCGCGCGCAGGTGAAGACAACATTTAGCTAACTAGCTGAGCGTCGAGGGAGGGGAAAGAGACACTCACCTTTAAAAAGGTAGTCATATTCGTCCTCTCTGTTCGTCATTGCTTCTCCTTATCGGCGACTCTACCGCTCAACTCAAGTCGAACAAACTTCTGGCGTATTTTTTTTTCCCCACTTACTTCCGACTTCAGCTTCACGCGGAAAACGGCCACTCGTAGTTAGCAACGCAGAAAAACGAAACGAAAGAAACGCAGTTAAATTAAAACAAAACGATGTCGGAGTTGTGTGATGTTGTTAGCAGCGATGACAACTGGAAGGCAGGAAACTTTAGAGCCGTCTTCCTCATCCTCTGTCACTTGCCATTTCCGAGGCTGAGACGTAGCGTCAGTCCGTAGCTCCGCCCCCTGCCGGCTCCTACTGGTCAATAGCCGTTCGACACTTGTCACTTGCTTTGATCTGATTGGTCCGCTGCGCTGTTTGTCATTTTTTTAACTAGTATGACGTCAAGCAGCAACAGGTAAAAATCGAGCCTCCTCGGGTTATGGAAGCAGCGGTAGGAGGTGCTGTGAGGGTAGGAAGTGAATTTTTCCAACCTGGAGTAATTTAATCTTAATCACCGCCCGCCACCGAAAGGGAGGGCGGGGCGTCATGTTTTCGCCCGTGTCTGTACTTTTCTGTCTGTTAGCAAAATATCTCACGAACCACTGGACGGATTTGAATGAAATTCTCATAAAGTAATCTTTGGATGTCCACCCACAACTATTTAGCATTTGGAGTCAACCTGATTCAAGATGACCGCCACAGATAAGGGATATTAAGAAACACAAAATAGGCTAAAACTCAGACAATTTTGTTGACAATGTGCTAAAACTTAGTGTGATAGTAGCTGTCATTCACCAGCATGTTCTAAAAGCCTAACAGACTGATAGAGACTTGTGTTAGCCAAATACCTAAAGAAATACTGGATGCAAACTTTCCTAAAGCATTCATTGGCTGCACAGCTAAAAATGATGATTGCCACAGATAATCAAATTCATAGTCTAAAACATCTCTTACAAGAAATGCAAGTATTCCTTCTCACGTTTATGATATTTTGGCATCAAAGACAGAGAAATCGTTCAAGTCTGTTCACGAGCACAAATCTACAGATGTGTTACGGTCTAAGGTCACCAGTTCAATAAGCACATCGTGATAATACGACACCAAGAAAAGGTCTGCTTTTTTTTCAAATAAATTATTTATTTTGCCACCAAAAATACAACCAGAATACACTCATTGACCTCATTTTAAAATAACAAGCAGCTGATTTTAATGAAAACATTTAATCAACCAGGTACCGTCTCAAATATTAAATATGACTTGATGTGTTTATATATTTCAGAATTTTCATATAAATTATAGATCATCTCATAAAAGGTTAGTGTTTTTGACCTTCGTTCAGGAGGGAGCAGAGTTTTATAAAAGCTGACGTTGGTTTTCAGTTACATCAAGTCTTCAACAAACTCAGAGATCAGTCTTTTTAAATCAGCATCAGTCAACCATTCATGATGGCACCAGAGGTTGCCTTGATGCCCGCCTCCTGTCAGATTCCACCTCAGCGTTGTTTGGTGGTGCTGCCCCACTGGCCCTGATGCCCCCCTGATGGGGTCAGATGTTCCTGCAGCAGGGCTTCTTCTCTGTGTTTTCTGCTCCGGAGCTGTTCAGAGACACGGCACTGATGGAGCCTCGGACCACTTCCTTGCTGCTCACCTTCTTGTGAATCTCTGAAATTAGAATATTTCATCAATTTCCAGAGTGTCGATCATTGTTGAGGTTGTGTTAAGAAATGTAAGCCAGTATCTTACTTGCAGTTCGGGAAGCAGACCGTATTAGACTGTGTAAAGAGGTGGAGCTAACAGTTACTCAGAATGGGATGTATGCTGCTCCAGAGTGAATTTTCACCATTTCAAACTAATGTGTCTTTGTACTGTAGTAGCTCTGATTCATACCCACCAAAATCTGGGTAAAGTGACCAAATCTGCAGTAGCAAGCAAAATAACTGCACCTTTTTAGCATCCTGTGTACATATTAGTTAGCATATTATCATAAATACTGTTTGGTTGAGCAGAAAGCAAAACCACCAAAAAAGTGTGTCATACACAAAAACAAGGTTTGTATAATACCATATTTCTTTTCAGAAGTTTATTCATTTGACAAAAACAAAATAAATTATATAGTATATGCAAAAAAAATACAAATCACAAATAAAATGTCAGCAGAAAGAAGAAAATATCTTATATCTGCGCCATTTTTCCAAAAATATATTCAAACAATAATAATGTACAAAAATTGTAAATATTATAATTATATATTATATTGCTCAAACTGAAAGGATTGTTTTATAATTGGAGTTGTTTTAAACAGAATTGTTTCTGCTCAAATTAAACTTGAAACGAACTCCTCCACAAGAACTGCTTCCTGATTCTTCACACTGAGATCACTCTGCAGGTAAGATACTGACTGCTCATAAACACTCCACACAACCCCACCTCTAGCAAAGTAAAATTTTAATATCAGAGCAATCAGGAACAAAGTATGCTTTTTATTAAAACTTCTCGTGTTGCCTAAAGTTATAAAAGAACATCATCACCAACTACAGAGGATTATTCTGTCAAAACAACAAGCAGAAATAAATAAACATAATTACCTGATAAAATGATGCTGAATGCTGCTTCCACATTAGTTGACTGCAAAGCAGAGGTCTCCAGAAACAACAGGCCTTTCTTTGCTAAATACAAACACAATGTGTTTCATGAATGCACATCATTTGTCAACATTTTGTCAAAATTTTAGACCCGATCAATTCTAAATATCATCACCAAAACCACATAGTTCTGTTTCAGCCGAGAAAAACTCCAAACGATTTCTCTTTACCTGCAAAATCTTTGGCCTCCTCCACGGGCACGGACCTGTCTGAGTCCAGGTCCGACTTGTTGCCCACCAGCATGACCACGATGTGAGGGTCAGCGTGTACGTACAGCTCCTTCAGCCAGCGCTCCACGCTCTCATAGGTCAGGTGCTTGGTGATGTCATAGACCAACAAGGCCCCAACGGCTCCTCTGTAATACCTGAAAACACAAAAAATATGCTTTTTTATTACCTGCATGTGTTTGATAAATTAAATAATAAAGTTTTAATTCTCATTTCAGTTCAAAAGCAGATTTTTTTTGTTGGTTTTCTTCCATTTGTGTGAGCAGTTTATCATCCAATATATTCATTTGATCTATTGCTAAAACAAATCCAGACAGGAACCGTTTATTGATAATAACTCATTCCTCCACCGGTCAATTTAAAAATAATTAATGGGCACCGGTTGTGCTGAAGCCATGAACTAATAAATTACATTTCTGCTCCCTTCTTGCGCCAACATAATTAATTACACTTTAATGGGTTTTAGCCGGTTGTTACAGGATAAATGAGAAATTCCACCAGAGTGGGAATTTGCACACTGGAGTAAGTAATTACCCCCCCCCCAAAAAACAGGCAGACAAGAGAAAAGCTAATCCAGTTACGCAGCTGATTTTCAGATTCTTTCATGTCTGAAAACTGAAACTTCTTTGTTTTAAAACCAGATTCCTACTAATCCTTCCAGTTTAATTAAAAACGAGACTCAGCGGTGTCTTCTGACAGAGCGCTGAGCGTTCAAACATTAGGGCAAGCCCTTTGTGTATTTATTCAATAGATTTCCTATTAAGCCTAATTTCCACCCACTGGTTCACAACTGCACTGCACCACTACACATTTAGTTGCATTAGTTCAACATGTTGTCATCCTAGTTCTGGGGTCTGCAACCTTTACAATCAAAAGAGCCATTTCTGCTCCTTGGCTCACTAATAAAATGTGTCCAGAGCCACAAAACAAGCTACAACTGTGATTACTAACTGGTGGTCCGTGGGCCTTTTCAAGGCCTTTTCAGAAACCTTTACGGCCAGTGGAGGTGAAATTATAAAACTAAAGACTATATTGTAAATTGTGTTATTTATTATTATTTTTACACATCAGGACAAATGAAAAGACCACAATCATGTAAACAAGAAAAATACTGTTTGTAGTTTATACCAAATTTTATAAAAACTACTACAACTGAACTATTCAGGTATATTTATTTTCTAATTCTTATTATTATGTAGTCTTCAAATACTTTAATGGCAATTCTGATGGATTTTTGAGAGAAACAAATTGCACTATTTAAGTAAAAAAAACAGGCTTGTTTTACTTTCTGTATTAGTAGTATTAATCACGTATTTGCATACAAATTAATTTCTGTTGTGAGTATAAAAAACGAAGAAAAAAAATTCTGTTATGTTTGGTCACATTTTCAAAGAGCCACTGCAGAGGGACCAAAGAGCCACATGTGGCCCCAGAGCCGCAGGTTGCAGACCCCTGTGCTAGTTCAGCAATCACTCCTAACAGGTTTTTGCTAACTAGTTGCACTTCTGCACAATTATCTGGAGCAGAAGTTATAATTGTCGGCCATTCTTGCTGCAAATATCCTCAATAGTTGTTTTTTTAGTGCAGTATTGGACCAAATTATCTGACAAATGTGTCACAGTCTGAAAACAGTGCAGAGTAGTCAAAAAATAATGCTTGATATCAAGCAGATCAAATAAATACACAAATGGCTTGCCATATACTAGAGCCGACTGCAATTTGGATCCTCGTGTTGTGTCTGGAAACCAGCTGGAGACAAAAATGTCCCGAGTGTTTCTCAGGTGATGGTTTCTGAGTTACCTGAGGATCAGAGCATGCCCTTGCTTGTGTTTTGCCTGACAACAACCCCAGTTTAAGATGCCAACACACAGGTTGCTCAACAACAAAACAAGCGTTCAGTGTGCCTGTTAAGGAGCAACGATGGTCCAGAAAAGTCAGATATATTTATTTATCATTGATGGGTTATCAAATTTCATGGAGTAGTTTTTTTTTTTAATTAAATCTTGCCTCAGCTAAGCATGCAGGTGAACATGTAGACAATGATCAGAGTTACTTATTATATTGTGTAGCTATTTTCTGCATAAATGTTGATGCAAAATGATACCAACTTTGCTATAATCTCTAGGGCTGCACAATATGTTGAAAATTTATCATCATTGCAATATCAACCAGGGCAATAGGCATATCCCCCCAAAAAACTGCATCGACTGCAATACATGGTTGGTTCAAATGTTTGCATTTATGTTTTTTGTCAGTCATACAGAAGCTTGAAGTATTTGACCAATCAAATGTAGCTCTAAACATATTTTGCCAATCGGATGTTTCTCTTTCCATTAGATGCCCCCCCCCCCCCCACACACACACACACACACACATAAACACAGGTGGATATCAAACAACTGAGCAACTTTAATTGGAGTTGCAATGGCTGAGAAAAGACAAGTGAGGAAAATGTTAGTAATAAAGAACTCGTGGTTAAAAACAGAACGTCTTATTTGGAGACGTTCCATTTCGTCCATCTTCTTCCTCTTATCTGGGGTCAGGTCTCGGGGGCAGCAGCCTAAGCAGAGAGACCCAGACTTCCCTCTCTCCAGCCACTTGGACCAGCTCCTCCAGCTAGCTGAGAAACAAAGTCCCTCCAGTGTGTCCTGGGTCTTCCTCTGGGTCTCCTCCCACTGGGACGTGTCCAGAACACCTCACCAGGGAGGCGTCCAGGAGGCAACCTAACCAGATGAACCACCTCAACTGGCTCCTCTGGATGTGGAGGAGCAGCAGCAGCTCTACTGGATGACTGAGCTTCTCAGCCTATCTCTTAGGGAGAGCCCAGACACCCTGCAGAGGAAACTCATTACAGCTGCTTGTATCTGTGATCTTGTTCTTTCAGTCACTACCCAACGCTCGTGACCATAGATGAGGGTAGGAACGTAGACCAACCGGTAAACCGAGAACTTTGCCTTCTGGCTCAGCTCTCTCTTCACCATGACAGACCGGTACAACGCCCACATCACTGCAGACGCAGCACCAATCCGCCTGTCGATGTCCCGCTCCATTCTTCCCTCATTCATGAACAAAACCCCGAGATACTTAAACTCCTCCACTTGGGGCAGGACCTCCTCCTTGACCCGGAGGCAGCACTCTACCAGTTTCCGGCTCAAGACCATGGTCTCTGATCTGGAGGCACCGATCCTCATCCCGGCTGCTTCACACTCATGTAGTGGTCAGCTAGGGGTGGGGTGTAGATTTTAAATTTCTACACTCGGCTGCGAACCGCTCCAGTGAGAGCTGGAGATCAGGATCTGATGAAGCCAACAGAACCACATCATCCACAAAAAGCAGAGATGTGATCCTAAGGTCACCAAAAAGGATCCCCTCAACACCTTGGCTGCTCCTAGAAATTCTGTCCATAAAAGTTATGAACAGAATCAGTGACAAAGGGCAGCCTTGGCAGAGTCCAACCCTCAACGGAAACGAGTCCGACTTACTACGGGCAATGAGGACCAAGTTCTGGCACCGGTCGTACAGGGACCTAACAGCCCGCATCAATGGGCCTGGTACCCCATACTCCCAGAGTACCCCCTACAGGGTTTCCCCAGAGACACGGTCGAACGCCTTCTGGTTGAACTTTTTAAAAATAAAACTGTTGTGTTGGACTGGAAATGATGTATTAGTTGTTTTTTGTTCTTAACCTACAGCAGAAAGACAACTCTTCATACTTAAGTATTTGTTCATTTATTATAAGTCATTTCCAAACATCAACCAGCCCTAATCTCAACCCAAACCACCAATCAGGTTGAGCTGATCCTGTCAGATACAGTCTACCAGCAGCCATATTTAAAGTCTGGCACAGACATTTTGGTAAATCATCTTTGTTACAAATGTTTGTGTGACGGTTGAACTCACGCAGAAGTGATGGCTCGGTACCGCTCCAGGCCCGCGGTGTCCCAGATCTGCGCCTTGATGATGAAACCATTGAGCTGCACGGTGCGTGTGCTGAACTCCACCCCGATGGTGGTCCGACTGTCGTGACTGAACTCGTTTTTAGTGAAGCGGGACAGCAGGTTGCTCTTTCCAACACCAGATTCTCCTATTAGAACCACTGCAAAAAAAACAAACAAACAAAAAAAAAAAAAAAAAAAAAAGAAGGATCCAAATAAACTTCTTTTTCTTTCATTGTTTTGAGTTTATGGTCTTTGCTAAACTAAACCCCTTTATTCTCAGTAAAAGCCTTTAGTCTAGGTGTGTCTTCTGTTTAATTTCTCCATAACTCTACAGTATTTACTGTCTGAGGCCAGACTAATTACACCATTAGTCAATACCATCATTATAAATGAGTTATCTGTTTAAACTCCAGTATTCGGAGCAGGAAAATGCATACACTGAGTTAAACAGGTTCTAACTGAGAAATGATAGAGACACAGTTTAAATGTAAGCTAAAATTTTTAGTTTAAAAAAATCTAAAGACCCTGTCACATTATAACATTTTAGACAACTTGTAGGTTTTTTAAATGTCTAAATTACAATTATACTGATCTATGTGTTAGCATTACAGATTGTATACACCTAAAACAGGCTTCCAGTTGATTTTTAAAAATCCATCTTCAACATATGTAGATGTCTTTAAACTTTTCACAAGTTGGCATAAAGCTGCATCAACCGATTGTTTGTTAGCAAAATATCTCCTGAACCACTGGACAGATTTTAAAGGGATCCCCTATTAGTTGTAACATTGGACTTTATTTAATAAACATATATTTTAACTGAGAAATAAAGACTGTAAAAATTCTGTAGGATGTTTAGTTTTTATAATTTTTTATAACAACAGTTTAGCTTGTTTGTCGTACTAGCACCGAGCTAATACATATAAGGCAATGGCTGTGTCCAAAACGGCAGGACGGGTCCTCCGAAGGCCGAATTTGTCGGCCGCATACGTCACAGCGCCGC